AATATTCTGTTTTCGTGAGAATTTATTTGGCACTTAACAATTTAAATTATAAATATTTACCAATTTGTAATATATTTACATGTATATACAGAGCCGTCGACATCCATATAATTAAAATCCTCCTGTAAAATGAATGTCTACGGAAAGCGGATTACACGAAATCTACTTTAATTTTTTTTTTAACTTTGCATTTATTTATTCAGTTTTTTTCATAAACAGTAATTTAATATACATATATTTGAATATTTTAATTATACATGCATATATAAATATGTTCAACGTGTTTGCCGACTTCTTCAATAATTGAGGTTGTACAATTAACTGATAATTTGTTTGGAATATGATGGAGAATTTATAAATATTCTCATTTATATATTATTTCTTATTTAGTAAAGTACTAGTTTTCGTTAAATAAATCCGATTAGAAAAATTAATTTTTTGTTTCTCAATTTCGAATACGCATCGTTGACACTGTTAGCGACGGTTTAATACACGTTTCTTTCAACTATATTTCATTATTTGAACCGTGTCTATTCAAATAAAAAAAAAAATAAATAATTTGAAAGTATTAAAAATAATTGATGTATTATTATTTTTTCCTTCTTTACAAAAATAAATAAATTGGAAATGAAACTACTATTAATTACGATTTATACATTAATAAATATTTTTAGAATTATTTGAAAATATTAAATAAAATACTTAGCGTACGTATTAATTGGCAATTATTTCGTTATTTCTTCGTAAAGTGTAATTGTAATTTTAAACGTGATAAAGGGATAATTAAGATTTTTAGTTTATCATTTATGTTGACTACATTCATCGTGAAAATTTATTATTAAAAAATAATATATAACGTTGATAACGTTAAATATTATATATAGTTTATTATTTTTATACGTGTAAAAAATAACATTTAAAGAATAAGGTTTAAATCTATTTAAAATAAAATTGTGAATTCTTAAAGTAAATTGAAATTAAAAAGATTTTTTTTAAGTTGAAATAAACTATATAAGTAAAATTCTAATGATTAAGAAACTTGGTAAATCATATAATGTATTATTAATAATATGAATTTGACATTTAAGAAATCGATTAATTTGTTGATATTTGTATGCAATTAGTTGCAATTCCTAAAATAGCTAATAATGCATTTGTATACATACATGTAAAATATTTAATATTAAAACTTATGAATTCTCAATTAGTTCATTTTTACGTTGTACTAAACAGTACTAAATTTAAAAACTCAATTAAATTTTATTTACTTTCTCAAAGTGAAAGCGTTGTAACTCTGAGAAAAATTTTATAAAATTGAGGGACGCGTGCATTAAAATGTTAGTTAAGTCAATTAATAATAAATAAATGATAATAACTATCATATGTCTATATATACATATACATAGTTTAATTCAATAATTTAATTTTCATTTTACTGACTCCTCTAACGGATTTAATGCATTGCAATAATGCATTTAAATAAGTTTGTCCATTTAAAAAGACAAAAGCATTTCATTGAAATTTTATGATTTGAGAAAGCGAATATTATATCAGTAACATTTCTCTTTATAGAATGATGACATTAGCATCGCTGATCCCATTTTTATTACAATACGTTATAAATTATCGAAAAAATTTAAATTACAATTAACTTTTAAATTAAAATTTATTGGGCTTTTTAAATAAATATTACGATTAATGATCGAAGATCGAAGTTATACGGAAGCCCCGAGAAGATTGAGGAATTAGAAAAATAAAAGTATTCCATCATTTTTATTTGTATTTTTAATACGGACGTGAGTTATTGAAGATATTTTCTTACCATCCCGATGAAATATTCAATTACTGATATACGCATATGTATGCACATGCAACGTAAGAAACTATGTGGTCGCTTTCACTGGTTAGCGCGCTGCGGTCATTCAAACTCGACAAGAGGAAAAGTTTGACCAGATATTTAGGTGCCAAAAAAAGATCCACAATCTTTAGAAAAACAATTACTAAGTACAGGTATGATACCTAATACCTATAGGGAATGGCTCAATTACATTTATTTGTAATAATCGCACGTGCGTTAGAAAGATTATTTATCAACAAGTAGGGGATAGATTAAATTGAGTACACGAGAAGTAGTACAACACGTTGAATATTTTGCAAAATTAATGCTTCAATTTTGATTTAAATTCAATTAAAATTTAATCCAAGTATTTAGAAATGAGTTTACCATTTGTGTCATTAATTTAATGTCTATATCTACATTTTAATTTTATATGTGTATGTTTATAAAAGCGCGATCCTTATTCAACTTTGCAAAATATCAAAGTATTATCAGAGTACCAAAGAGTTATCTTCGTGATTGATGAAAATTGCAGTTAAGTCTAAGTCTAAATACATCTTTTGCGAATAATACATGATAAGCTTGGAGAAAATTAAAAAGCAAAAAAAAAAAAAAACTATTAGGCAGTTAATGCTAATTGAACTTGAGCGAATAAATATATGTTAATTAAGAGATATATTTAAAAACCTGAAGGGATAAAAGCTGGTCATAAATTTTTCGAATATATTTATTTTCTATCTTGTAATAATCATTATGGAATAAAAACAATCGAATGTTTTAATTAAAAATTTATGTTTGAAAAAAGAAAGTAAACGAATTTAAATCGAGTTTAATCTCATATATATTTATTGTAAATAAACATACGTATGAAGGTAAATAAAAATTTTTAATTAGATCGAAGATGTAAATCATATGATTGGTATTTAATTTCGTTTAATTTCTTTTAATTCTTAATTAAAAAAATTTCACGTTTTCAAAATGAATTCGAATATCGACCGCGAGTTTTCTAATTTGCTTGCACTTATTAATTTTCATGTATATTATTGAACTCTAAGTAAGCAATTAATTACAATCAGCCGTAATAAATAATGTAAGATTTATTTTTCTATTAAAAAAAAATCAATTTGGACCTTAAATGATCGATGACTGAATTATTCTATATTCTAGAAAAATTCAATATAAATTGCTTCATTCTATTTGATCATTTATTACATTAATTTTTGACAACTTTTTTTTGTTTGTTTTCTTTTTTTTTATAATTAAAGGATTACTTAAGTTTAATTAATTGTTAATTGACTTTTAGTAAATATTAGTAAATTAATGTTTATTGTGATATTGATGACACGATAAGAAATAATAAGAAAATGATATTTTATAATTACATTTTTAACATCATTAAGTAACTATATTTTTTCAACGAAATAAATTTAAAATATTATCTTCAATCTTTTATTAATATTATTGTTCTATACAGATTAATATGTTTTTCTTTTCTTTATTATTTGCAGATAATTGTCAATGTAAATTCTCATATGACAATTTTAATAATTATATGAAAACTTTATATTTCCAGTGAATTATATTGCTAATATATCAAACATTAATATAAAAGTAAATTTTCACTATATACTTATTAAATAAGATTCAATTTTTGTTTATAAAATGTAAGTATTCATGTACGAGCTGTAAAATCTTATACCAATAAAGTTATATTACAGTCTACTATTTAAAAGTAATATATTTAAAAAAGTGGATTGATGAAATATGTAATAACTGTAATTGCTTTGTCAATTATAAATATGCTTCTATTCATTACAGAAAAAAAAAATAATATTCTCGTTTTATGTTATCGACAATAAATTACCAACATATATTATTAGTTTACAGTTTTAACTTATATAAAATTGTATTTGTAAATTATTATTTTATATGAAGTAAAAATTAAAAATATAAGAGTGTTTTGTTAAGTCTAGTATATTTTTCTAATAAAAAAATGAATTTATATCAGATTTATCCTGAAATTGATGCAATCCTTTTCCATATATATATTTTATAATAACGTAAAATTTTATAAAAAAATCTATGTTTTTTTTAATGAATGTTAAAAGGTAAACTATGTAACGAAATAGAATTCAAATTCTTCGTAAAATTAGACAAAATTTCTATAATATTTAGAAACCTTTTCCTAGTCAATTTAATCATCAAAATAATAGGATCGACATATTTGTCATATGAAGTTATACATTACTTGCGTAAAACTATAATAAAGCAATTTTATTATGTTGAAGAATAGAAGGTGAGTAGAGAAGATTTATAGAAAGATAAATGTGCTCATTAGATAGCCGTTAAAATCTTTTCAATATTCGAAACTTTCACAAATGATATACTTTATATTAATCAATCTTATTAATTTTGATGTTGTGGTACAAATGGTTTTCTCGATCTTTAGGAATTAAAAATAATTACAATGCCCATAAACAATTGCTTAATGGGTGAAAAAGGTGCTCATTATTTGCGAATTTTATTCGCCGCTTTATAGGCACAACTAAATCTGACATTTGGACGAATTATTGTGAAAGGATTATTATAAATTGAAATATTATTATCGAGTTCGTTGAATATTGGCCATCGACTTCCCAAAAGGACTTTGAGGTACGTGGATATTTTAATGTTATGGTTTAAGTATATTAAGCATGATTATGTGCTAGACGCGATAGTTTAACATTCTACTATTAGACATATATTTTAATAAATACGATGTTATGATCCGATTAACTCGCGATAAACAAGCAAGTGCCAAATGACTTTCGTTTCGCTGTTTATCCATCGAGTTTCATTGCCTCACCTATACCACTCGATTATGTACATTCATTGAGGTTCGCGCTGCTTACTTAGCTAGCCCGTGAAAAAGAAGAAGCCGCTTTTTCTTCTCGCACGACGCCACTCATTAAAAATTAAACACATGCCTGCCTGCGGTTTTGCAATACACTCGCCGTCGTCTCATCACGAAGCGACGAATGGTCTTTCCGCCTGTGCGATTGATTCGTATGAGCGCGGGGTGGGATGGGAGTGTGTGCGTGCGTGCGTGCACGTCGGGATAGGGGTGAGTGTGATCGAGCAAAGGGCCGATTAAGTCGTAAGTAAGAAGCTCGTCGTCTCTCACCGTAACTGCAGAAAAAGTGTGCGATCCAAAGTCCGAGCACGAGTTTGCCGATCATCTCACGCGGCGCGTCTGCTCATGCGTCAAAGTCACTCAATAAGCACCATAACGCACACGCGGCTGGTGCGCCGCAGCTGATTGAATGCGCGGGCTATTTGATTTGAATCAGAGGCTCACGCGGCTGGACACCCGGGCCATGACACCCTCCCGGGTACGAGGGCTTCACTGGTTACAGCATCATCGTGGGCGCCTCGTTGCGGTGGTGCGCGCCGATAGCGTGCCAGACGGTGACTGGGATTGACGAGGAACCGCCAAGTTATATTCGCTTAGGGAGGCAAGAAGAGAGAGTCGGCGGCGCGTTTGGTCGCGAGCGAGCGAGCGACTACGTCGGCTTGCCTCGGCCGCCTCGGCCGCCTCGTGGCCTACTATAACAGAATCCACTCCCACCACCGAGACTCCCGCTCCGGGTGCTTCCTCGCGCACCCAATCTATCGCCAGGAGGAGGAAGAGGAGTTTACGCGGCGGAACAAGAGATGGCTTACGAGGCCGTGGGGCATAATGATTTTGGGGCCCTCGGGACCGGGGGAAGGGAGAACGCTTCCTATACTCCTGACTTTGTCGTTGCCCTTTTTCTCTTCATATTTTGTAATTATTATTATTATTATTATTATTATTATTATTATTATTATTATTATTATTATTATTATTATTATTATTATTATTATTATTATAATTTTTGTGTTTTATAAAGTGGGGATGGTTGTTGTTTTTCGTAGTCCCTCCCGTCGCTATGGTGATTAATATTAATGTTGTAAGGCATCCGTGACTGTACGTTGGCGTGGCTGCTCTTAAGATCGGTATTTTTGCGTTTTACAAATTGCTATCCTATATCATGGAGAGTCTGTTGCGATTTTCATATGCCAGTGTATAAGGACTCCATAAACTCATAGTTTTTCATTATAACGATGCATCGTACTTTCACGAGAAGATGCTTTTTATATAAATAGTGAAAATTGGCATGTTATTGTTAATTTGTTGATTTTATTGCAGAGTCGCATGTTTTCGATGGAAAATTACAATTTTCATTCTGCGAAACCGTTTTCAGGGAAATGTTGCTTATTGATTTGCGATGCTTCCTGTGGTTTCCTATGATTATCCATGGGAGCATTGTTTTTTGTTTGCATTGGTTTGTTCTGCTCTAAGCATTTAATTAGGTCGTACAACCGACGCGATTTATTATGTTTTAAAAGTTATTAACGATACATCAGAAGCTATTGTCTTCCGTTCCATCCATTAAGTACGCTTAATATTATTGTACATTAAATGTATACGATTGTATTATAAATTTAACTGTTACAATATCTATTTATCGTTAATATTCGCCATACGTAACTGCCACAGCATTTATCACGGTTAATATATTATTTTGAAAGTTAAGATATTACTACTGTCTGTAACCATAACTTTTTTTTATTTATCTCAACATATTTATTTCCTTAGTAACAGTGGATAATTTATAATTTTAAACACTGAATTCAACCGAATAAGTATTTATAAATTTTATATCATTTTCGAAGATTCGTATTGAATGCTTCGCAGACACCTCTACATACTGGCTACAAAACACACTGACTTTCTACATTTATCGAGACATGTATAATTTATCACTGCTTCTTTGCAGCAATCACTTAAAGAGAAAATACCTATAATTACGTCACTGATGCACTTTACTTAACAATTCGTAATTTTTAATAACTATGTAGAAGTTAATTGTAGATATACAAGTGCAAAATGTGAATACGCCCATAAATGACATTAGAGTTAAATTTTGAATTAAATATAATCCCTTTTTTTTTTTTTTTTTTTGTTTTTTACAAAATAGCGCTTCGACACGATGAATTTTTATGTACACAATTATACTATACAACGAAATGTCTTTTGTTTTTGCAAAAATTAATTTTCATAAAAAAATCTATATCTATGCAGGCAAATTGATAGGAGCTTTTATATTATTTTAATTTGGCAAAAGCCACATATAAATTAATGTAATTATGATTTTTTTTTGCTAGTTTTATGTAAATTTTGCCCAAAGTATTTGCTCTATGGACAATACACCAATATTATTCTACCGAAACGAAATACTTCTAATGCAAATTTCTTTGAGCATATCTTATTTATTTAAATACATACGTGTTTCAATCGCTGTGTTACTTCACCTCGCCTTCCTCAACGATAAATTGAAATATAATTTTATAGACTTTATTATATTGTATTGTAATATCGCAGGTATGATCAAACAAGTAGCCGAGGTCCTCAAGTGCATATCTCTTTATTATGTTTCACAATTCATCGAGAGCATAATTTACTTAACATAAATAAGTGCATGAAGTTTATAGGGAGTATCTTGTGGAGATAATGACAGATATTGTGTAGACGAGGACAGGAACAAAAGTGATGGGCTTCTGATATACTAGCGCGTCCGAAGAATAATAGGCAGCTGATTGCTCAGTTTGATAAAAAAAGGGGGGGGGGAGATAAAAAGAAGAAAACGATTGGCCATTATGAATTTTTTTTTTACTTTTGGATGGTGATAATGATGGAATTTCATTACTCTAGAATAATTATTTTTAACAATTCGCGATATAAATTTTATTTCATTAGTATGCGTGAGTTTTCGAAGAATTTTATTTTTGCACTTTACTTTCATTATAAATATCACACATTCATATTCTTTTATAATATATTTTTTTTAACATTTTCATGATATTTCATATTATTGAATACCATTTTTCATCAATCATGTGCAATCTTATCGATAAAATAGTCGCTATATTACATCATACCTACGCTGTAATGATTTAGATACTTGCAGAAGTTGAACTTTTTCAAAATTCTTGACAATAGTAATGTGTTATTTTATGTTTATATCATGTTGAACTTCTAAAAAAAAGTACTTTAAAAAACTTCTTGCTTTCAATAAAACGTTTTATTAAAATATTTTGAAAGTGAATGAGCAAATTTTGGTAAAATGCCCATAAATCATTTATATTAAAATAAAGAATAACATTTTTTAGATAGATCATTTTGAAGAAATTAAATTATTTGTCAGTAATAATAGAAAATTAATATTAAAAATTATATTCGACCGAGAAATTAATATTATGTTATGCACATACTTAGAATTGTTTATATAAACGAAAAACACGATATTTAACTAGACATTAGTAAATTTACTTATGACAAAAGATATAAATTGTTAATCAATTTGTATTATGTTTAATACTTATTTAGCAATTTTGTATTATATCTTAATTGTATTATATTTATTATATCTAAAAATAATCAAGGAATTGGAATTTCGCGAAATAAAGTTTCATACGTATATATATATATATATATATTGTATTTGGAACAGATTTCAAAACTTATTTTGTCACAGATGCATATATCAGAATGAAAAAATCATTTTAGGGAGTGACAAAGCACTTAAGAATTGTGAATAAAAAGTCGAGTCTATTACAAACTACCAACAACTATGTATTGGATTAATGATTTTGATAATGAGTAATAAAATTAAAGTGATATCTCACAGAAACATAGCACATACCAATACAATGAAAGAGACAATAAAAAGAAAAATTTAACTACATCTAAATAATATTGAATAATATTATATAGTTAATTGTCATTGGCTTGAATCATATATCTGTTTTTGACAATTTGGAATTTTTCTATGATACATATATACGAAAGAAAATATCGTTTTATTGTATCTTTATTATTATTATTATTATTATTGTCATTTTCATTACACTTGACAACACGAGAAGAAAGATGAAGGCAACTATAAAATTTAGCATATATTTTTTTTTATACGTGAAATTTTTATTCACAATATTCCGAAAGAGTCTTTTCACATGCTCATGCTAGTCGAACTTTACATATTTATGATAAAATAAATTGTTCATTTTTTATGCTTTAAAAGATCTTTTACATTTTGAGTAGTTGGTTAAAACACACACATGTTAAGACAGTAAATTTTCTCTAATATATGTATATACCAATAAATAATGCATTTATTTCATGTTATTGCAACAAAATTTTTAAGATATTCTACTGTATGTATAAGTGGAATAACATATTCATCTTTTGGGATTATAATGCTTAAAAGGTAAATTTTTCATCGATATTACTGTTTTGGTGAAAAAATCAGCACGTCATTCGGAATATATATTTTTTTAAAAAATTAAGATTGACATATGAGGAAATTTTTTGCAGTTCAAAAATAAGTGTATATCGACGGAATATCGACTACTAAGGGTTAATCACCATTTTCTATTTAATTTAATTTTATTTTATTTTTTACATTTACAAATTATTTATTATAACTACGTATTTATTGATGATATGAGTATGTTTAAGGGCTTTGTTGCAAATAATGCTTTACCATAGTAATTTAAAGGATACTTAACGTTTAAATTGCGTTATAGCAGTAAAATTATCTTAAGAAGGAGGCCAAATGGAAAATTAAAATATTGCATAAATTACTTTACGTCGTAAATTTGGCCTTTTATTCTCATCGATGCAATGAATAACACTTTTTTCAATATTTTAGTCTTCCGCGAACCATTAATATACAAAAACATTCCTCCATCGTGGTCATGCTAGCTCGTCTCGTAACTCAAGGTCCCGTAAAAAAAAAAAAAAAAAAAAAAAAAAAAAAAATTAAGAAGGAAAGAAAAATACCATTGCCGTTCCTGTAACTGCGGCATGCGGTAATTGTAATTGGAGTTTTGCGGTCTCAGTTTAACAATGCACTAGTATCTTTTATACAGTGAATTGCTTCGTTCTTTTACATGACCTAAATGCTAGGGATTATGTTGAAAAAATAAATAGGGAATAAGGAAAGAGAAATTGATAAAGTATATCAATGACTAATTAAAGAAATTGCTATAGAACGGTTCCACAATTATATCACGTAACGGGTTATGTTGCATGTTACATGAAATAATATTACATTATAAAGGCTCGGTTATTATTGATGATCACCGAAGAAGATTTTAGGTAGTATAAATCATATTCTGAGGTAATTCTTAATTTACTTTACGATGCCCAGCATTTGTTATTGAAGCAAAAATCTTAAAAATACACTTATGTCGATGGATTTTAAATTATTCAGGATCAAAAGTCTGGATACGTAAAAATGTGCATATTATCGAAATATCAACGTCGAATTGTTCGCTTAAAGAAACATTGAATATAAATTTATAGCTAGCAAGGCTTCCTTCATTAAATGCCTTCATTAATAAAGATATTTTTATTTATTTTACTTATATAATATACGTTTGTATAAATTTAACGCCCT